CAATATTCCACATGTAAATTTGATCACTGCGAATTGAATACATTGTTACGCTCCTACGGTTTTTTCATTCATAGGTATAAACATAAGCTAGAGTGATTCAATAAGTCGAATTCTGCCTCGGGAAGAAACTATATTGAAAAATAGTAAGTATGTGATCCTGCTGTGTTAAATCGCTTGGTTCGTAGACATTTGAATTACATAATACTATTATATGGAAATAACGAGTTGTTTGGTTGTCTTAACTGATAACCTGTGGATCAATTTAGTTATGTAATCAGTTGAGTCAAACCATATGCATCTACACCTGAAAAAAACTGTTAGAAAAGTGGCTTTAAGTTGTTTTACAGTTGTTCTATGAAAGTATAACGACTGAATACAATTGATAAAGTTTATTAACTTCTAATTATGTACGTTTTCAGTACGCTATTTCTCATTTTGTTTAAAATCAGATGACCGGAAATCAGTTTAACTGTTTTCCAGTGTATATATATCCGGTATCATAATTTGGCTTTCGTACAATGCGATCTTTGTTTACGAATTCTTGCCAACTGATTTACCTATGCTTAATAACATGGTTTAATTTTCTTCATTCTTTTTGTATATGAAAATTTTCACTGGTAACTCATTCCATTTCCATTTAGGTACTTCATCCGAGCTATAACTAGTTACGGTAAACAGTCACAACAAGGCTTCTAATTAATCGATTCTTGACTGAGCGTCAGTTGGCGGATTCGCTTTGGTATAATATAATTGATATCTAATTGTATAAATTTTATAAGCTCATTTTCAATCATATCTAATAATAAGACAATAGTTTGTTGAATTATTTATCCTTAATGACTCTAGTAGAAGAAATATACGTTTATCAGTGTGTTTGATCACCATATTTATGTTACATTATTTACTACTACTCTATACATTCCCAAATAATTGTTACTAGGGAAAGTATTTACCATTTAAAATTGATGTCGGATCGGAAACTGGTGATTATGTTATAGAAGAAAGAAGTCTGTATTAGAGTGACTATAGGTGTCTACTTTCAGGCGCCATTCATGTTTCAAATTGTCTGTTTTTAATGTGCTTTCACTATGTTGGAATCGGAAGTTTCTACCGAAACAATTATTACTTCAGTCAAATGTCTTACAAGAAGAGCTTTTGCTAAAATGAAACTAATGTCTATTTTTCGAAACAGTAGGAATTCTTCAATAATACTTTTCAGAAATTCTTTTTAAGACCACTAACTAATCTAAGGTAGATAATCAGTGAAAACTAGGAAGCAGTGAACGAATGGTTTGTCCTAATAAGAGACTCATAAGCAGTACCAGTCTATGACCTCGCAAATGAAAATATAACCCAAGACCTACGGTCTTGTGAGTGAACATTTAACATGTAGACGAATGGACTTACATCCAGTGATGCACAAGTCTAACCACAAGCAATCTACAACATTGCACGTTCATCAGTTGCATTTGGTAGGTTCTTTTTTGATTCCGAACACGGTTGCACTTAAAACTCGACCATTTACCGGGAAATTCGTCTGAGTTATTGAAAATACTTTTAATACTTCTACATCCTAGAGCTTCTTTGTCAGTCCAAGAGTTTTCTGATGAAAATTATTTTTGGTGACAAACTGATTTATGATATCCTAATTTTTTTAATGCTTTCTACCCGATAGGTTGTTTGATAACTACGATTTTTCGGAAATCTACTGCACTCTGTAAAGTATTATGCTCAAACAAAATTTTTGCAAAACCTGTTATTACACTCGTTGACATACAATAGAAATAAATGGTTTCTTGTAATGATTATCAAGTTTAATCATTTGCTTGATCGAAAAAAAAACTAGATAACCTGTCATTTTAATGTTTACTAGTGAAATCAACAGATTCATATACTAATATTCATTAATTTAAATGTAAATATTGAATATCCTGTCGTAAGTGGGAATAATTGCATGGAAAACACTCTAATCTAATGTCAATATTTGCAACATCATTTAAATTTCCTAAACTTACATTTTCATTGGTAATTTAACTCAATCTACACAAAATAAAGCTAAGATAATCAGATCTGTAATTGTCGGAATGAATCAGACCATGGAATTGAGCATATTATACATATATATATATATATATCATTATTGATTTTTAAAAAAAATCATCTTCCTCAGGTTGTCATCAGTCATTAAATAATCACGTTGACATTGTTAAAGAATACTCCATCTCTCAAGCAATTGATTCAGGAATGAAAGGTAAATAGGGCTTGTCTTAATTGTCACTGGCTAATTTCAAACAACCAGTAACAACTGAAATTTGACACTTTTTGAAATCTGATATTCAAAATTAAATTTAATTACTACAGTAATAATAATAATAATAATAATCTGTTCATATGAGCAAATATAATTTTATCAAATGACCAGAAAAATACATCATAATATACAAAATATCAAACTATTTTTCTAAGATGCTGACAGGGATAATTTTCTGATGAAACTAACATTTAGTTATTCAATCAGTAAAGTTAGCATTATCCTTGATATGTGAAAAATTGTGCATAGTTTTTCACAAATAACTCGTACTAAGTGAAACCATTTTATTTACTGTAATGACTAATAATAACTGTTTGTTGAAATATGAATTTGGTCTTATTGCAATCGGAAAGTGAAAATATTTATTCACATCCTATCAGTCTATTCTAGTATTGGTTATTACTGTTGGGGGAAATGTTTAATACTGTGAACTTTATTCCTTTGTCAAAGACAAACAAAACGTGACAGGAAATTTAGTAAAATTTGAATCGATAATTTCAACTAATAAACTAAGTATTACAAACAAGGATTATTATCTATTCACTATTATTATCCTTATCAACATATAATGCAGTTTATTTTTTATTTCTCTACAACAGTAATAATAACTACAAAGTAAATGAATAACTTTTTAAATCGTACTATTACTTTCATTCTGGAATCGATCAGCCAATCTAGATGAGAAAATTAAAATGACCAAAAAAAAGAACTAAAACAGAAGCACATCTTTTTCGCATCCTTTACTCTAATTCAACTTCTTCAAAGAATAAAAAAATGGTTATTTACTACTTTTTAATGATTTATCAATGTTTACGGCTTATGAATAAATACTTCAGTCGACTGACTTAGATAAGGTTTTTAATTCTGATGAAATCTAGAAACGCAAACCTTGAAGTAATAGAATTTTTCTTCTTTAAATCCATCCAATATATAACTAAATGGATCCAATGATGAAAATGAAACGTAAGAAAAACAATGGTTACAAATAATCTTTTATAATGTTTGTTACAATACTTTATGTTTATGGTAAATGTATGTTATTGTCAGAGGATGATTTAGAAGGTTGTTCTGTGAATTGCTCTCATTTTAAACCATACTAAATACATATCAAACCATCAGTATCATTTATCATTGTTCTCTATTCTTAACTATTTGTGTATGAAATTTTTTTAAAATAGAATAATATTTCTTCAAATAAACATTGAATAAAATGATTATTAGCACATTGAGGTTCGTGGCTTGATTTGTGTTGAGTATTTTGTGAATTTAAAGCGCAGTTATACTATTTAACAAGTACCTTAATCTTATTTTGGAAAAAAGTAATGTCTCATGCGTTTATACAAAGGAATAATTCCGACTACGGTAAATAAGATAAACGAACTTTCCATTTCAAAGTTATAGAAGTATAACTTGTTTGGTAATAGTATTCTCATTCACAACAATTACATGAAATGGATCCTATTTTTTGGCAAACGATATTTCTAGTATTTTTCCAGTGAAACATAAGGCTATTGAGTATATAAACGGATTTATTAAATCCCTACACTGTGTACCTTTATTTTCGTTTCCCCTAATGGAGTTAAAAATCAACCCGATATTCTATGGTGAACCTTGTGAATTTTATACATTTGGTTATGATGGATCAGGGACAATGGTGATTTGAGTATGATTCAATCAAAATAAACTTAATGTTCAACAAACCAGGACGCTGAATTTCTAAAGTTCCAATGAGAAGTGTCAGTTGATGAGACTCACCAGTAACATATCATACAGCAATCTTAAGTGATACTGGGGTGTGATCCAGACCATATCACAAACTGATTGACATTACAAATACTGACCAGTGGATTCCTATGTAGTGGTCTGAATTTAATGTGTTCCTCACTAGAAGTGAATGTCTTTGGTATTTGTTGTATATGGGTTTGTGGATGAGGAGTACAGTTGATTCATCATCTAGATGGGATTACCTCTCTAATGTTGTCCGCTTTTGGGTGATTCAGTGGCTGAATTAGGCGTAATTGAAAAAAACTAACCTCAAAAAGTTTCACGACATTGTATCTGGATTCGTATAAATAATTAAATAAAATTTGGTAATCAAATATCATAATTATATCACGATTATACACTGGTATTATCACACTGGATTGCTTGACTCTAACCTTCGTGATACTTTTGATCATGATTATCATCTCATTTTCTTTCCTCTTCGAGAGTTTTCGGTCCAGTATCTACACCGGAACTTGTCTTCTATCAAAAAATCATTCTAGTTATTAAAATACTTGTCACTACGATTCAAAATAAAATTGATAGATGTCTACAACAAGTTCATGTCCACTAGTTTGGAAAAATTTATGCACCGATCAAATGATATTAAATGTAATAGGAAATTTTCATTTCCCAATGATTGAGAAATAAAAAAACAGAGTCAATGAACAGTTCTTAATACATTATTTAGCCTCACTAGCATAAATGAAATGTAACTTCAAAAGAGAAATATAAACTTTCTGTTTTCCTTACCGATAACTTTTTTAAAGTATGTAACAAACCGATTGTTTTAGGTGATGATTGAAGCGATTTAGGCGTTTGATGAGAGACAATCAGAACAATAACTGGAATTGTAGTGAGTTCATACTTCATTTTGCCTAAAATTTTGTTGACCTTACAGTCTTTTGACCTGTAACCATGCCTTATGGAGTACGTCTTAGCATTCTAATGTAAAATTTGATTGGGTCATTGGTCTGGTGACTGTTTGCATGTTTGCTAAATAGGCATTGGACATCAAAACAATACGTTGATTGGCTTATCGATATTATCTTATCCAATCAAGTATCAGTAAGAACTCACGTGACTTCACTTTGTCCATAAGCAATAATTTTCTACCACTTCCTTTATTTTTTCTGATAATTGTAGATGGTTAGTCACAAAATATTTTTTTCCCTCTAAAATCCATTGTACCTGACGGAATCAAGATTATATTAACCTTCCATCATATTTTCTGAATCAAAAATCGAGCTGTCTTATTGCACCAATCCTCTTCAAACCTCATTACTCAATTTTAGGAATTTGAATGTATATGTAGTTGGTGAAGTTGGACATCCTAAAGCGAAAGTTATTCGTATTGTGCACATTTCAGATACAAGGGGAGCACATGATGCCTTTACAGAAAATATTCCGCGAGGACATATACTGATTCATTCTGGTGATTTTACGTCTCATCCACCTTCACTCAGTCTCCGTCTTTCAACATGGTGCAAGAGTATAGCTGGTAAACTCCCTCAGTTTAAGAAGCGTCATTCATCACCTGTTAAGAACTGGAAGCAGCAAATCAAAGAAATTGATAACTTTTTTGCCCAACAGCCCCATGATTTTAAAATATTCGTTCCCGGTTGCTGGGAGACATGGTATTCTGATTCATCTGGTGACTGTCCTACTCCTGAAAACATCCAGTCTCATTTAACATCGGCTATCTATCTTGAAGACTCCTGGTGTCAAGTCTTTGGACTGACAATTTATGGCATTCCTTGGACTGCAGCTGATGATTTAAGACCAGAAGATGGAGCATTTGTACAGAGGCATTTAAGTCATTATACAAAATTTAAACTTAAGCCTTCAACTAGCTGCTTACGAATTCCTGATAAAATTAATGGTCAAAAATCATCCAAACCTGCCATTACTCCCTCTAGCCCATATCAGTCTAAGGGTTTTGTGCTCCCCAACATTGAAGCTGTTTCTAAAAAGTGGATGGATATTCCAGATAATACTGATATTGTTGTAACTCACATGCCTGCATGGCGTCCTGAACTTTACCCTCATATAGCTGATCGTGTAAAGTGAGTCGAATTTCTGCTAGCTGGTTTTTTATTCGAAGAAACAGTTATCGTTTCAGCTGTTTTTGTTCAATATTTAATTCTTAGAAATTACATTTGAGTACCTGCTTAGGCTAAAACTAACATATAACAGGTCGTATTTTTATAATATAACTACTATAAGTAACGTATTAATGTACTGACAATTCATTAAAATGTCTAGTAATTCATGTACAATAGGAAAAACATATTACCTGCACACTACTGTACACCAAATTTTTTTGTCCTGAAAACATTTTTTAACCTTTTACTTAATAATGCGTCTAGTAATTAGTATAATTAATCTGTTTAGGGAGAAATAATTTGATTCCTAAATATTATTTTCCATATTACGTTCCATTGATTATTTACTATGGTATTATTATGTATACGTAAAAGGAACGTTGTATAGTCTACAAAGTAAGGACGGAATGATTTACTGCTATGACTGAATGAATAATTCTTGATAATCTAGCTTATACACTTGGGAATTTCTCAATTCTAGAGCTTAGTAAGTAAATATTTATTTATATATTTGGCTTTCAGTCACATTTTTTATGAGAGATATTCATGCCATCCGATTTTCCAAACAAAACTAAGCGAGGAAGACTCTAAAATCTCAGTATGATTGTTGAAAATTGAGTCAGTGTCTGGAATGATTGCAAGTAACTAAATATAGACGCTGAATCAATCTAAGGTTGTGTGATAAAATTGAGTCTTCATGGTTAGTATAAGGACTGGGAACTAGGTTACATGTTTCAATATCTCTATAAATTTGAGTATTTGCATTCATTTTATGCTACTTTACTTCTTGTTTATTCTATTATATTACTTTTGCAATTTTGATTGTCCCATTCGATATTTTCATTTCTTTTAATTCGTAACTGCTGCTAAAATCATAGTTTCTACACATTTGAAATCATCAGTCAATCATTGCTAGACCACCATTAGAAACCTGGAAGCACTGGACGGCCGTTTCATCCTCGTATGGGACTCATCAGCAGTGCGCATCCACGACTCCTGCACCTCGCAGGATTCGAACCCGGGACCTTGATTGATGATTTCAAATGTGTAAAAACACAAAAAAACTTCCAAAACTCTGCCCGAAAATATTGTAACGCGGCTCACTAGTGACTAGCTTCGTGAGGAAATTCTCGGAGTTCTAGTTGAGAAGACGTGACTAATGGACTTCAACCCTGTCGGGTGTAGGCAGTAACTACCAAAGACCAGTGGGTGAGGTCGCGCAAAAATCCGTAGATCAATCAGAGTTAGACATTAATACAGTTGGATGCCGGCCCAGCGGTCCGATGGTTTTGTGTAAAAACACAAATAAAATCTCCAAAACTCTGCCCGAACAAATCATAGTTGTTTTTATTCGCTTTCGGACCTCTTGTCCATTCTCTGTCACATTGTTCATGCGAAGTGTTGTAATTTGAACCGATACAAATTTCTGCCTGGTTTTATTTTGTTTTTGTTTGTCCTAATAACTGATTTCATCTAGTCTCATTTACCAATCTAAGGTAGCATAAATAACTAGCTAGCTTGCTGTTTTCCGATAGAGAGGAAGGTTAGAATATGAGTTACTTTAAAGAGAAAAAGTGATGAACCTTTACCATGATATGACTTAGCTGTGTTAACAATAACCTTTAAATAGTGGTTTTAAACCATTTACAATGGACAGTTAAAACTATGCTGACATCGCATATCTTCTGTGAAATAATTGGAATGATGCATTGAAGCAACTGATTACTACTCCTTTTGTGGTACTAATGGAGTAGGAAACAGTTTGTACGAATCTTTGCTTTTTGCGTCCAATGTATTGATGTATTTTACTGACCAAAAGACATTTAAATGTATAGATTAGCAAAAACAACATTGGTACGTGAAATAAATATTTTATTCACGGGAAGCCCGAAACTATCAATATGAAATTCCTTGGATATGTATATAAATTCCATTGAAATTGTGAATGAAGCATTGTTAGACCACGATTAAAAACCTGGAAGTACTGGACGGCTGTTTCGTTCTGATATAGGACTCATCAGCAGTGCTGATCCACGACTCCCTGCTATGCGCGAGATTCGAACCCAGGACTTTCGGTCTGATGTCTAATCAGTGATTTAAGAAAAAAATTATTTTAATAAACTTAAATTTCAGCATAGTATTATTCAACTTGGCTCGTTTGCAAAATAATTCTGTTGGCAAACTAAAAATTTTGTAAGACTTTGAAACGATAATTCTAATTTTTACTTGTTGATTTCGAACGCAAATTTTCATCCAAAGTCTATTTAAAAAAAATCAAGTATAGTTTACCATTATGTGGTTGTTTGTATTTTTCAACCAGTGAAAAGTAAATTATGTTTATTTTCCCACTTACTACAAGCAATTGGCCTCTTTATTAACACAAATACTATTTCTTTAATTATCAATATTTACGAAATTATTAAATCTAAAATTAATTTGATTATCTATGGGTCATTTGTAATTGTAACTACCCTCGATACAATAATTTTTATAGACAAGTTTAGTAATGAGGATTAGAAATTTTTAAATCAACTTTCATACAAAAAAAACATCAACAGTGTTATGGTTTGCCAACTATATTTTCTTATAGGATAATTCATGTGGTAGTTTTTTGTTTTGTTGATAGTATAATGTAATAATTTTTGTTGATCCTAAGTATGATTTCAACAAATAAATAATCTTTTTTATTAAATGGATTCTATTCGAGAATAATTGAGGTTACGATTGTTTCAGAGAAGATAATAAGAAGTAAAGAATTTTTCAGGGTAAACATATTTAATGAACTATTTTGGTTGTAGGAAGTTAATTCCCAGCTTTTCTTAGTAACAATCGAAATCTGATACTTAGTATGATATTATTAAATCTTATTAAATCTGATATTATAGTATGTGTGTTTTGAAGTTGATTGATCAATATTCTTATCGACCTATTCGAAACACTGTAGTAATAGCGACATAATTGCAGATTCATGTAGTCCTTTCAAGTTAATCCATGTAAGTGTAACTAAGTTGAATTTTCAATCATTATCATTACATCTGCTAAGAATGGATCAGATTAATGTCTTGCAAATATGCTATAACGACACTCAGACGCTTAGATTATTAGCAATTTAAACGTTTGATTTTAATTGCTTGGTGATTAGCTAGTGAGTGATTAAAGGTACAGTTATGCTAGTCGATTGAGATAATTTTTGATTACACGAAAATATTGGACAAAATCAAATAACATTTTTTGAATATTTTTCCAGTTGTACTCGTAAACTACTTCTTGAAATAGCTTGATTTATTGCAGTTAGGAAGTCACATTTTTACGTTTGCAATGTATAGATGGTGTAGGTGACTCTGTCGATTCAAAGTGATGACCTCGAAATGGTCGATTTTATTTTTACTATTAATTCGTAACGGTGTTTAATGAATTGTAGATCTATCTAAGATTGATTGATTGATTGAAGCGTCTGGTTCTTTGTATTTCAAGTGAGCTTCTTCAAATGAAACGTCAATATTTACTTAATACACGCTTTCTGTAGTAAGAATATATTGTCTTTGTATTGAGTATCTTAAATTTTACTGAATATCCTGGATGAATCACAAGATTTTTGAGCCGCAAGGTTTTGGTTTATGTAATCTGACTGTGTTAATTTAGGGGCTTTTTCAATTGATAAGCTCTAATCTAATTATCGGGATACGAGTGCTTCGGTTTTAGTTGAAACCGGGATAAACTGGTCATAAGATTCCCTATATTTGTCAATGTTCCTTCGAATGATATTATCTGGTAATCAAAATGTTTTCATATCTCAGGCTAAGTCAGGAGTTTTAGCAATAACCAATCTAAGTTTGCGGACTACTAAAAGCGGGAAAATATTCAAATGCCATTTCATTTTTTTAATTCTACGTTGCACACTGCTAACTTTGATATGTTAGTCAGGTTTTCGTTCAAATGGCACCTGACAAGAAATTTGTGTCTTCAAGTTGCTCATACTCCGTCTAACTTCCTATGTTCATGATTTTGTTTAATATTTAGGCACAAGTATTCTATCTAACTTAAAAAAACCTATTCTTCCTGAGTAATTGTTTTATCTTCAATAGCGGTGACTTCGGGGTTTAAGTCAATAATTCAGTATCATGAGCATTCATCACTTGGCCACAATGTGTCACTGCGTTAATCTATCGATTGGGATTCTACCCAGTTTTCTAACAACATTCAAATTATTCATTGTTCATCGAATCACAGCTCATAACAAGCTTTCAGACGCAAACCGTAAATGGTGGTCTAACGGTGATCGTTCCTTGATTTCCATGAAACTCAACAATCTTTACTACCCTATACTGAAAATTACCATGTGAGGGGATTCTCAAAATTCTACGGAGAAGTCTTGACCACTGAACTTTAACTTTGTTGGTGAAAGGCGGGTACCTATCGATGACAATCGACAATAGTTGCACAAAATTGTGGATTGATTGAAGTTAAACATTGATGTCGTCGGATGCCGGCTCACTGATCAAGAGGTTAGGTGTTCGCGCGCAAAACCGAAAGTCCTGGGCTCGATTCCCACGTGGATGTGCACTGCTAAGGAGTCTCCTACTAGGACCAAACGGCCGTCCAGTGCCTTCAGGTTTTCAACTGTGTTCTAACATCTGGTTTATCATTTCAATGAAACAAACCTTGTAATTATATAATCTCTGACATCCTTTAAGACCACTGCACGCTTAATCGATAAACCTTTTTTTGTTCGATTTCAATTGTTTTCTATGTTTAGCAGGAATAAGCACAATATTTCTTCATCCTCATCTGTCATATTTTATAATGTCCGTAAATCCTCGTCGTATTGTATGTTTTTTAAGCTTTCACATTGAATAATAAAGTGCAATGAGTATAAAAAATTATCAACTCGCCATCAAAAAATTCATGCCCAGTGTTACAAGTGTACGATTAACTTAATATTCCTGTTAATCACGACTTTT